AAGTATTGAGCAAAGGCTGTGAATACTTATGTACATGTAATTTTTTGTTGCTGTTGTTTTATTTTTAATACATTTGCAAATATTTCAAACAAACTTCTTTCACTTTGTCATTATGGGGTATTGTTTGTAGAATTTTGAATAAAGTAATGAATTTAATCCATTTTGGAATAAAGCTGTAACATAAAATGTGGAAAAAGTGAAGCGCTGTGAATACTTTCCGGATGCACGGCATCTATTTACAGGTAACTCTACCACAATGAATGATTACTAATGTGTAAGCAACAAAATGTCTTTATAACAAATTTCTTTCACTGACAACACATTGTCTCAGTGTTTCTGATCTCACTGTTTTTTAATTTTTTTTACCAAAATGGGATCCTGTTTTATACCTAGTGTGAATTATTTTATTTTTAACAACACTGACCAGCATTTATACTTCCTAATATATTTAGCACATATTAATAATAACAATAATAATAATAATAATCTGATTTAACCTCCTGAAAAGGAAACCAAAGTGAAGGCATTGCTCAAAAGAGAAGTTGTTCATAAAAAGAAGAAAATCTACTCATCAATCCAAACAACAATTAAGAATCAAATGACTGCTGGCTATGAAGGTAAGGAAGCATTTAAAACAACACACACTAATTTCAATTTATTTAACTCTTGCCCACATGGGGTTGTACAAACCCCATGACCAGGCACGTGCACAGGTAGGGCTCAACCTGTGCAGAGCACATGCCCTTTTTGCCCTTACACTCCGAAGTGCCCTTTTTTTTTGGTGATGGTGTTTTTTTTCCTTCAATAAATCAATGATATTGGGGTACTTTAAGATCATAAAAATATCGAAGCTAAAGGTTTTCATAAAGCAGTTATGCATGTCAGTATAGCGCGAGAGGGCGCTAGCGTCTGTATAGAGACGCTAAAAAAGGTAGAAATTAAATTGAGCATTTATATACATTAAAAAACAAGCTTTATATAATTTTTACGATTTTTAATGAAATACGAATTTTAAATAATGAAAATTAGTTTTTTGTCTGCTTATTCTATTCATCAGTGTTTAACCATTAAAGAAGAAACCACATTTTCTTGGACGCAAAAGTACACGGATTGAAAATTTTCGCCCTTTAATCCTGCAGAAGTTAACAACGTCATGAACGATGCTTTTTGAATACAGTAACATAAATAATGAATGTAATCGGCCATAATAACGAAAAACGTTCATAAAAGCATAAAAAGAAAGGGGGAAAGGGGAAAAAAGGACTATACATACATTTAACTTAAAATGTCCATAGTTCTAATCACTGATCTATATAATCTAATAATAGAAAAAAGTGAAAGTGGCCATAGGGACTATTATTTGCGAAATGTAACAGGCCGACGTCTTAGTGACGTCCTCACATCTTATCCAATCAGAAAGCACTTGTAAAGATTTGAACGCTTATGGGCTTCGAAGTCGCTGAGAGGGAAGTTCAGGGAAGCGTAAACTGTGGTTGTTTTTGTAAAATGCGTTAGGAAAAATAGTTTTAACATTCAAACACAAGTAGTATTTCATGAAGTAATTCATTCAATTGTTAAATTTACAAGAAAGAAGAAACAGTAAGTGTCATGAATATACTAATCCAGAATAAACGCTGAATTTCCTCAAAGGTTCATTAGCTAGAGTGGCTAGCCAGCATTGGAGGGAACAATCTTAAACCTGTTTTAATAAAATCCCTCTACATTTATTGAGAAGTAAAACTGATATCTATTGTCCTTTATTTACGTTAAGACGAGTATTAGTTTTCTATACTTACACAAACGACTGCTCCAGGTGTGTGTTCACGGTGTGTGTGTGTTCACTGCTGTGTGTGTGCACTTTGGATGGGTTAAATGCAGAGCACTAATTCCGAGTATGGGTCACCATACTTGGCTATGAGGGGCCGTATAGGCCGTAATTATCGAAAAACCTCTTACAAACAATAGTGAAATAAAAAACATTGATAAACCTTAGTGAAATTCATTCATACACATAACTGAAAACCTCTTACATACGCGAGTGAAAACATTCATTGGCCACATGTCACGTCACTTAAATGACGTTCATGATATGTCAGTTATTTAATGTGTTTTTCATCCAGAAAAAAACAAGGCTATGTCCCACAAGCAGATTTATTACTCTGATAAATATGACGACGACAAATTTGAGTACAGGTAAGTGGATATATTTAAGTCATCTGTACAGTTTACAATTAATGTTAAAGGGGTCATATGATGCGATTTCAAGTTTTCCTTTCTCTTTGAAGTGTTACAAGCTCTTGGTGCATAAAGAAGATCTGTAAAGTTGCAAAGACTAAAGTCTCAAATCCAAAGAGATATTCTTTATAAAAGTTAAGAGTCAACCACGCCTACCTAAAACGGCTATGCAAAACAACTTGTCAATTTCTCATCCTCAAAAAAAATATATTATTATTATAATCTAAAAAAAAAAAGAAAGAAAAAGGAAAAAAAAAAAAACATCTGGACACATTACAGAAAGAAAATTTGCTTAAAATATGTTTAACTGTCATAACATCACAATGCAAAACAACTTGTCAATTACTCATCCTCAAAAAAAAATTTTTTCTAATAATTATAATCTACAAACAAAAAAAATCTTAACTATTCAGATTTTCTTTAAGCAACATTTATTCATATATTTCTTTCTTTTGGTTCAACTGGACCTGGACATTCTCACTTTTTCTCACTGTGAGATCCACCCCACAACTTACCTCCTAAGAGGCCAACAGCGCATCAAGCAAATTAGCAGTGGCTGCAGAGGGACGCTGAGAGCAGTGAGCTCATTTCCATATAGATGTAGCCCAATCCTGCCACCTGTGATTACCATTTTGTCTGTATTTATACAGGGCTGTTTTGTTCCCTGCCTCACACAGGGTTTGAGGCATTGACCTCCGGATGTCTCCATCCTAGACAATAACCCCCTGAAACTGTGACAGGCAAAACAGAGAAACAGCCTCCTGCCGCCCACATGCCCCTCAACAACACTTTCTCTCTTCACCCATGAGCAAACCCCCAACCCCTATTTCCTGAATCATGACTGTCCACACACCCAAACACACAATACTGTATACCATCCTAGAGAGTTAAAACATTCAAAACAATCATGATTTTCCCTTCGCATTAACACTCTAGAAAATAAGCATGTCTTTCTATGAGGCTTGTATATATAATGAATCATAAATGTATTCTTAATAAAGTGACTCTCATAGGTATTCTCCTAAAGGGACTCTTCTTATAAATAATTAAATAAATAAATACATCTTTTACTTAAAAAAAATAAATCATGTGGAACATACACAGGCAAATTTTCAAGTGACTTGACAAACTCCAAAAAAGAACAAATAAAAATAAATAAAATAAAATCATAACAGTAGATAAACGCATAAAAACATATTTTAATAAATGTTTTTTTTTTGCACTGGTCAATTTAAGGTCTTGTTTCAGACTAGTGGAAAGACAACAAAAAGACATGTTTAATTATTTATTTTATTGAACTTTATCTATTTGATAAAGATTTAAATTACAACACATATCTTTAAAGGCCTTTTTTTCATGCACTGAGCCAGAAATCATCCATTCATTAGCACTTACATACACCAAATTTTACAGTTTTTACAGGTCTTTACAAAATGGTTTGATCATATATCATTCGTCCTGAGTTATATAACACGTAATTCCGAGTGACAGTATTTGCAGATTTATGGAGAGATAAAAAGAGAAACCTTTAACTCTAATATGCCAACATCATGTCACAAGAATTTTAAACCTGGCTTTATCCAGTGTTCAGATTTATTTTCTATGTGTGCAAGTTAGTGCATATTCAATTTAATTGTGCCTCATTTGCACATTTTATTATAACATTTTTAAAAAAAAGGAATTCAAAACAGTCGTCTCGATGTGCTGTGATTAATCAAGGAGACTTGCCTTAGGAGAAATAAAAAAAATAACAGAAAAAGAAACAGATAAAAAAAATTAATATAAAAAGAAATAGGACAGTAGGTCTGTTCCATGTAGGCCACAATTAGCTTGCAAGCAGCAAATAAAGGATGACTGCACAGCCCAAAGAACGGTTCAGCAAACAGCACTCGGTTCAAACAAGTGTCCATGTGGCCATTCAATACACAAGGGCATGTTTGAAAACGCGAGTGTAAACTTGAATGGGTCTGCCAAAGTCCAGCTCTCATTCAGCAAGTTACACTCAACGTGACCCAAAGCTCCCTGTGCCTCATTTTAGATTAAATGTAGGGGTCAAACTATGAAACTACAGACTATAACCACTAAAGTTACAGCACATTGCGCTACAGCCAGCTCTAAACAATCCTCTTTTAACGGCACTAAGGTCCAGGTAATTCTAAACGTCTTTGTCGACGCAAATTTGTAGATTAATCTTTCATCCTCGTAAATAACAGCAATTCACAGGAGAGCTAAACCCAACATCGTGCTAATATTGGGGATGGGCGTATCGATCCGAAGTATCGATATATCGATACTGACGCGAGTATCGAAAGTATCGATACTAAGGTGCATTTTATTTACCAGTGGTTTTGTTTATTTAACAACAATACTAATAATAATGCGTACAATATGCATTGAATTGGACGAATAACCTTTGTTAGCGAGTAATTGTGTAGGATAGAACTATTTTCCTGCTCATCTGAACACACGCAAATGTTGCAAGACAGAACCAATCAATCACAGAGAGCATTCACTCACTGCTGACAGTGCATTCAAACAGGGCTGCGTTTCCCAAAAGTATCATAAGAAAGCATTAAAGCTTTTGGGAATGGCAGCCCTGAACAATGCTTATCAGAGGACAGAAAAAAAAAAAACATAAATGTTTGAGTTATTTCACAGTAAACAAATTGAAATTGTAGCCTACATAGTTTGTGCAATTACAATTATTTAAATTGAACGTTGAAAGATAATATTGATCATGTTCTATTCTGTAATGTTACTAGAAATCATACACTGTCAGAATAAAAAGGTTGCATTTTATGCATGCAACAGCCATTCACTGGCAGTCCCTAATGGCAGTACAACATATTGCACTAAATCAAAAGTTCAAATGTTACAAATAAGTTAGAATATTAATGTTGTAATACTGGTAGCACTAATATAAAAATGTGATGATATATGTTACAAAAAAGTAAAAATTTTGAAATACGTTGATGGTTGTATTTTTTTGTATTTGATCTCAGTATTCCTATCAATGTTGTATAATGGTTTTTTATGCATAATAGTAAGCCTAGAATTTGATCAAACAGTTTAAAATAGCTGGGCTAAGATATTTAACTATTTTTAAGACTGCAGAAATATGTTAGTTCAGTATACACATTATCCCACCAGTTACAATTGTGACTGACCATATTAAATTTCATAATTCAAAAGTTTAGTGCAGAAGTATCGAATCGGTATCGATATAGACGATACTGCCTTGAAAAATATCGGTATCGTATCGAAAACAAAATAAGGGGTGTCGCCCATCCCTACTGCATCATCACTGTGTCTGTCACGCGACTCTGTTTCCCTTTCGGGCTTGAACTGATGGTAAAACTAACGACATTATTAACTGTCTTGATATTTACTTTGAAAGCTGAAGCTCGCGATTATGGTAAGGGGCGTTACATTTCCGACGCGTGCTTGTGGTGTTCGGCCAATCACAATGCACTGGGTCAGCTGGCCAATCAGAGCAGAATGCGCTTGTCAAAGGAGGGGGCTTTGTTGAAAACGACGTGTTTGAGAGAGGCGGGCATAGAGGACCTACAATAATGTACAGTATTTGAAAAACAATGTGTTTTTTGAACATTAAAGCATGTCAACATATTCTGTTACACCAAATAATGATCTTTAAAATAGCATCATATGACCCCTTTAATGTTTTCCATTTTTAGGTTTTGTAGTCCCAGAAAAAGCAGTGCTGTGCATATACTACTTACTAATGATGTCCCACTGCTTAACCATCTGCTGAATCACAAAATAAAATGAAACGAAGTTGACATTTAGTTATATTTAGTTTTTATAAGTTCAGAATAAGTAGAAACATGATACTTAGGTCTATTTTCTGAGCTGTTAAAATGATAGTTATAATGAGGGTAAAGTGTAATATGTTTGTTTCCCGTTCATTTTCAGGCATGTCATGCTTCCTAAGGATATCGCTAAAAGAGTTCCCAAGACCCATCTGATGTCAGAGACCGAATGGAGGAATCTGGGTGTTCAGCAGAGTCAAGGATGGGTACATTACATGATCCATCAGCCTGGTATGTGTGTGTTTGCTAGGATGTCAAAAACTCACCCAAAAATGTGCCACCTCTACTGCTGTCACTGTTCATATACATGTTCATAACTTATTTTCTTTATAGAACCACATATCTTGCTCTTCCGACGTCCTCTGCCTCAATCCCAGTGACTCCAGAACCACAAACCAAAGGAATTCTGAAAACTGGATGCAATCTGAAGATGTCTGAGAGATGCCGGGTGCACCCCAGATCAGATGGTGTCAATATCATTTGTGCTGCTTTTGACTTCCGTCTATTGACTATTCTGTGGGTTAGAGTATCATCACTGTGCTAGATCGCTGCCTTAACTGAGAGATAGAACTGTGTGCAATTTCCTGCTGCACCTGTATTTATTATTACTTATCAAGCTTGTGTTATAACGATTCTGTATATGAGCTTCACTTGATGAATTTTTGCATGGGTGAATTGACTCTGAAAGGTCTAGCAACATTAGAAATTGTTGTACATAGTATACGTACTGCTTTATTAAAAATAAAAAATAAAACTCCAGTGATGAAGTTGAGTACATTGTAAGCGCTTTAACTTTTACTAGACCTGTTTTAATAAAATCCCTCTACATTTATTGAGAAGTAAATCTGATATCTACTATTGTCCTTTATTTACGTTAAGACGAGTATTAGTTTTCTATACTTACACAATAATGTGTGCAATATAATGGCACAGCCATTGAAACATTCCATCCCAGTTATTTTTAGTTGCACAAACCACTCATTATACTGCTTATTATTGCAAACTGGTAATCCTTAACATTATTTTACTGTGCTGTCATAATTATGAGCACACTTTTTAGCGCAAATAGTTTATTTTGCATATTGTTATTCTACACATCTAATAAATCTCACGTCTTGCATATTCACAGAAAATGGCCCCTTCACCAAAATAAGGTGAATGTACTTCCAGGTACTAGTTCCAAGCCTCACTGACAGTGAAATCTTGTTGGTCTAAAGTCCAATTCTGCATAGGTGTATTTTAAAAATATGTTCCGACTAGCTGTGACTTTATCGCTTCAGAACGAAATCAGAAGCGTGGTAAAGTTAGTTCCCTTTCGAGAGGGTCTCTCGACGTTGCATACAGCGTACACTGTAAAAAGTCATTAGTTGAACTTACTTGGAAAACCTGTGGAAACTGAGACACCAAGATATTTATATGAGGACACCTGTGCGATTTGAACATTATGAATATAAACAGGGCTATGGTCGCCAATTAACTTCGGATCGAATATCATCTCCTCAGTTTTCTTCACATTCACAATTAGATGGTGAGCGTCACACCTCTCAGTAAATTGCTTGATTTCAGAGCAGTAAGACAAAATGTCTTGATCTTTATAATAATAAACTAAGAATAGCGGTGTCATCACTAAATTTCACAATGTGGTTATTATCATATTTGCTCACACAACCATCTGTATATAATGTGAAGAGAACTGAGGAACTCACACATCCTTGAGGTACTCCTGTACTAATATATTGTAAGTCAGAGATCATCTTATTGACCTTAACCTGTTGGGTTCTACCCGTTAAGAAAGAAAAAAAACATCTTATAATATAGTTATGTTACTAACCGGTCGGACCGGGAAAAACATTTGGAGTACTATAGACTGCCAAAAGTTATAACAAATCAAGAAGAGTGCAAAAAAAAACTGTCTGAGGAACAAAAGGCATTTATGGTTGGCCAAACTGAACCAGGATTTCCAGGGCAAGAATCTTGACAACATTCGTGTTAGTTCTTATCATTTCCGGTCAGATAGGTGAAATATTAGGCGAATATCTTAATTAATGCTGCTCGCACGTATCTTTACCACCTATTAACTTTAGTTTGTCAAAATATTGCACCCTTTCCTGCTTACTAAGTCCTTTTCAATATGATTTAGCAGCTTCCACATGTTTTTTTCCGTTGTTTAGACATCATAAATTAGTAGAACAACGTCTTCAGTAGTAACCATGCAATCCATGCTGTTGTTTACATCCGAGTATCTCCAATATGGCCGACACCACTCAGTAAATTGCTTGATTTCAGAGCGGTAAGACAAAATGTCTTGATCTTTATATAATAAACTAAGAATAGCGGTGTCATCACTAAATTTCACAATGTGGTTATTATCATATTTGCTCACACAACCATCTGTATATAATGTGAAGAGAACTGAGGAACTCACACATCCTTGAGGTACTCCTGTACTAATATATTGTAAGTCAGAGATCATCTTATTGACCTTAACCTGTTGGGTTCTACCCGTTAAGAAAGAAAAAAAACATCTTATAATATAGTTATGTTACTAACCGGTCGGACCGGGAAAAACATTTGGAGTACTATAGACTGCCAAAAGTTATAACAAATCAAGAAGAGTGCAAAAAAAAACTGTCTGAGGAACAAAAGGCATTTATGGTTGGCCAAACTGAACCAGGATTTCCAGGGCAAGAATCTTGACAACATTCGTGTTAGTTCTTATCATTTCCGGTCAGATAGGTGAAATATTAGGCGAATATCTTAATTAATGCTGCTCGCACGTATCTTTACCACCTATTAACTTTAGTTTGTCAAAATATTGCACCCTTTCCTGCTTACTAAGTCCTTTTCAATATGATTTAGCAGCTTCCACACGTTTTTTTTTCTGTGGTTTAACAGAACAACGTATTCAGTAGTACATTAACCATGCAATCAGTGCTATTGTTTACATCCGAGTATCTCCAATATGGCCGTGCATCCGGGTAACTGACCAATCCGTGACGCAAGTGCAAACCCTCTATATAAGCAGCGCTGAGTGGCATTTCATCAGAATCTTTCTCCTTCATTATAAATGCTTGAAGCCCCGTTCACACCGCCATGGACTTTGTAGCTGTATGTCGCTAGACTCTACTGTGTAGACGCTTGTGGGCGTTCCTAGTGCTGCTGATCTAATGTTATTGGTAGACTGCATGTCTCACCAACTGCATGTCTGGACATATCTTTAGAAAATGCAATCACAAACTATATATATTGCCTGTAAAACTAAGATATCATTCTAACGTGACTAGGAATTAGCCTAATAAGAAATACAGTACAGTGCATCCGGAAAGTATTCACAGCGCTTCACTTTTTCCACATTTTGTTATGTTACAGCCTTATTCCAAAATTAAATTAATTATTTTCCTCAAAATTCTACAAACAATACCCCATAATGACAACGTGAAAGAAGTCTGTTTGAAATCTTTGCAAATGTATTAAAAAAAATTATTTGAAAAAAAAAAAAAAATCACATGTACATAAGTATTCACAGCCTTTGCTCAATCCTTTGTTGAAACTCCTTTGGCACCAATTACAGCCTCAAGTCTTTTTGAGTATGATGCTACAAGCTTAGCACACCTATTTTTGGGCAGTTTCTCCCATTTTTCTTTGCAGTACCTCTCAAGCTCCATCAGGTTGGATGTGGAGCATCAGTGCACGACCATTTTCAGATCTCTCCAGAGCTGTTTAATCAGGTTCTAGTCTGGACTCTGGCTGGGCCACTCAAGGACATTCACAGAGATATTTTCCTTTGTTATCTTGGCTGTGTGCTTAGGGTCATTGTCCTGTTGAAAAATTAACCATCGCCCCAGTCTGAGGTCCAGTGCGCTCTGGAGCAGGGTTTCACCAAGGATGTCTCTGTACATTGCTGCATTCATCTTTCCCTCTAACCTGACTAGTCTCCCAGTTACTGCCGCTGAAAAACATCCCCACAGCATGATGCTGCCACCACCATGCTTCACTGTAGGGATGGTATTGGCCAGGTGATGAGCGGTGCCTGGTTTCCTCCAGACATGACGCCTGGCATTCAGGCCAAAGAGTTCAATTTTTGTTTCATCAGACCAGAAAATTTTGTTTCTCATGGTCTGAGAGTCCTTCAGGTGCCTTTTGGAAAACACCAGGTGGGCTGTCATGTACCTTTTACCGAGGAGTGGCTTCCGTCTGGCCACTCTACCATACAGGCCTAATTGGTGGAGTGCTACAGAGATGGTTGTTCTTCTGGAAGTTTCTCTTCTATCCACAGAGAAATTCTGGAGCTCTTTTAGAGTGACCATCGGGTTCTTGGTCACCTACCTGACTAAGGCCCTTCTCCCCAATCGCTCAGTTTGGCCGGGCGGCCCGCTCTAGGAAGAGTCCTGGTGGTTCCAAACTTCTTCCATTTACGGATGATGGAGAACACTGTGCTCATTGGGACCTTCAATGCTGCAGAAATTTTTCTGTACACTTCCCCAGATCTGTGCCTCGATACAATCCTGTCTCAGAGGTCTACAGACAATTTTTTGGACTTCAAACTCACTAAGATTTTTCATATCCATGTCTGTGGTTAAGGTCAAATCATATAAAACATTTGTGAAATCGCTCCGGAACTCTGTCCTGTCTTGCCCGCACTCGAGATGGTGATGTGTGAGCGCCACTGGGAGATTCTTCACTCTTATTGATTGTCACTCACGAAATTCGCTGTTCATTTCCATAAAGTGAAACTATTCTTAACTTTTGTCAGGTGACCATTGTCGCTTGAACACCTACATTCTGTTGCCAATGGTCATTGTCGCTCGTGTCGTCAGAAGTCGCCAGCTCTCCATTGAAAATGAATGGGATCATGTTGCTGCGTGTTGCTGGCGGTGTGAACGGGGCTTAAGTCTTTGCTGTTGATTCATCCCCAAAGTGGATTATGGAATACGCTTTGCTGATTCCCATTACACATTCCAGTGGATAACAGATTGAAGATATCATTTAGGTTTACCCGAAAAATCTGTGTGGGACCCATTGGGATCCCCGACGGACTCAAACTTTGCGTCTTTTGCCTGGCCGCACCCACACAGAAGCCAGGCCCTAACTCCCTCAGCCACTCTCTTCAAGCAGCTGAGAAAGAAGCACCGACATCCTGATTTGGAGCACAAAGTGTTCAGTGGTGAGTTCACGAAGGCTCAGATCCCACGTGCCTCCCGCTTTGCCGATCGATCCATGAGGACTTCCCACCTTCGGATAGTGTTTGTTATAATCGCCGCTTATCTAACTTTAATAAGAAACAAAACCTGGCTCTCACACTCCCCTCATGATAGTGGAGCTACTGTATTAGTCATACGTGAGGTTTGCAGCTCTTATGCTGACACAGGTCCCGCTGACCCCCTGAACGTGCTTA